TTTTAGTTGCTTCTTCTATGCAGAATTTGTGAATTTTTCATGTTACTCCAGAAAGGCAAATTCCTGTGTCTTTATAGTGAATATCACACATGGTCCTTTGAATCACATAACTGAGCAAATCCTTAAGAAATCTGGGTCATTGTAGTGGCCTGAATTTACATTTAAAATCAGAGGAAGCACGTGATAGAATCATTTTCTCTATAAGTCACTGATGCCTGAACTGTATACCAGTTTCTCTGCAGAGATAATTTTCAGTAACTTTAGCAATGACTTCCCAGGTTGCTAACTCCAAAGGATTCACCTTATATTTTGCTCAGAAGACCTGGTTAACTATCACCTTTCTTTGAAACATTTTATCTCTTGGCTCTCATGACACCATGTTCTTTTGAATTTTTCTTTCTCCTTTGATTTCTCTTTCTCAGGTTCCTTTGAAGATGTGTTTTTCTCTTGTTTTTCAATCACTAAAGTCATATCTGACTCTTTGAAGCCCCGTGGATGGCAGCACACCAGGCTGTCCTGTCCTTCACTGTCTCCTGGAGTTTGCTCCAATGCATGTCCATTAAATGGGTGATGTTATCTAATCATCTCATCCTCTGCCACCCCTTTCTCCTTTTGCCTTCAATCTTTCCCAGAATCAGGGTCTTTTTCAATGAGTTGTCTCTTTGCATCAGGTGGATAAAATATTAGAACTTCAGCTTCAGCATCATTCCTTCCAATGAACATTCAGGATTGATTTCCTTTAGGATTGACTGGTTTGATCTCCTTGCTGTCCAAGGGACTCTCAAGAGTCTTCTCCAAGACCACAGTTCTAAAGTATCAACTCTTTAGTGCTCTTTATGGTCCGCTCTCACATCTGTGCATGACTACTGAAGAAATTATAGCTTTGACTGTATGGACCTTTGTCAGCAAGTCATGTCTCTGCTTTTTAACATGCTGTCTAGATTTGTCATAACTTTCCTTCCAAGGAGCAAGTTTTTGAATTTGTGGCTGCAGTCACCATCTGCAGCAATTTTGGAGCCTGAGAAAAGAAAATCTGTCAGTGCTTTCATTTTTTTCCCCTACTGTTTGCCATGGAGTGATGGAATTGGATGCCATGTTCTTAGTTTTTTGAAAGTTGAGTTTTAAGCTAGCTTTTTCAACTCTTCTCTTTCATCCTCATCAAGAGACTCTTTTCCTCTTCACTTTCTGCCATTAGAGTGATATTACCTGCGTATCTGAGATTGTTGATATTTCCCCTGGCAGTCTCTATTCTAGCTTATGATTCATCCATCATTCTTTCTCTTACCAGCCAGTATTTGTCCTGGGCTCTTTTCTGGTCTTACTCTACACTCTTCTTCTAGGCATTTTCATCCTCAGGTTTAAATTATAGCTATAAAAAGACAAATCCAAAATTTCAATCTCAGACTCACGTGAAGACCAGAACCACACATTCAAAAGGATGTTCCAAAAATCACCCTGATATACCATTAATGTCTCAACAATCTTTTCCCCAAAGGTGCTCTTCCTCAGTTTTTCTCCTCTCAGGGCATGGTGCTTCTAACAGCCCACTGGTATGAGCTAGAAAGTGGAAGCCATCTTTAACTTCTTCCTCTGTTTCAATACCCACACCCCTTATCGACTCCTTTTTGTAGCCTATCTTGAATCTCCATCTCTCCATCTTTGCCTTCCCTACCCTTGATCAACTCAAAGTCACATTTTTCCTGCAAATGCTTTCACAGCTTCCTGCCTTGGGCTTCCTATTTTTTTCTCATCTTCCTAATAACTCTTCAGATTTCAGACTTTTGTCCTCTTATAATCCTTTTCCCATACTGCATCCAAATTGATGGTTTACACTTTAAATTGAATTATACTCCCTTATTTGAAGCTTGCATTGACTTTTTATTAAACTTAGAATAAAACACAAACTTTTCAATAAGACTGCTGCACAGGGCACTGTGGGATCTGACCCTTGCCCACTTCCTTCTCTGGCCTCATGCTGTGCTTCTTTCTTCTTTGTTCAGGATACGTTCTTTTTCTTAGTGTCAACTACAAATTGACTCTTGCTGTTAGCACTTGTGATCTGCCTCTATAGGATTAAATCATGTTGCTGCTACAGCTACTGATTTTCAACAACTCCTGAGAGGAGTTCAGGGTGGAGAGCAGAAACGAGGCATTCTGGACTCAGGGAAAAACTGCCAGGATGGGTCTTCAGATAGAGATTTTTCAGGAGCTAATTTTATAAGCCCAATTCTTATATCTCCCCCTTATCTAGAAAAACACTAAAATCCTTCATGGTGACAGCTGTTCCTCATGACTAGCAAAGCTTCACAAAACTAGTAGAAACCTTCTGGAAAAGTGTGTGCTTGATTGCATTTATTCCCCCCCCACCAGAATCACATATATATTATTAGCCTTCCTGCCTGCCTCTTTGGAGCAGTTTGTCACAGCTATCTGAGGTGCCGTCTTCTGGACTGCATTCCTCATTTTGCCCCAAATAAAACTTAACTTGCAACTCTCATGCTGTGCACTTTTTATAATTGATATTTATTATTATTTTTTGTTGTTGTTAACATTTTGCCCCAGTTTAATTGAGGTATAATTGGCATATAGTATGTGCATTTAAGGTGTACAGTGTGATGATTTGATAAATGCATATATATATTGTGAAATGTTTATCATGATAATGTCATTTAACACATCCTTCACATCACATAATTATTACTTTTTTGGTACCTGTTATAGTGAAAACAGTTAAGATCTTTGTTCACAGCAACTTTTAAGTATACAATACAGTATTGTCAACTGTAGTCACTATGCTATACATTAAATAAATCCCTGGGATTTATTCACCTTATAACTGAAAGTCTGTATCCTATGCCTGTTATCTCTCCCTATTCCTCACTCCCTGCCACCCCCCCACCCCCACCTCAGTTCCCAGTAACTCTCAACTTACTTTCTGTTTCTATGAGATTAATGGTTTAAGATTCCACATTTAAATGAGATTGTGCAGTATTTGTTTTCCGCTGTTTGACTTATTTTGCTCAGCATAATGCCTTCAGGGTCCATTCATGTTGATATAAATGGTAGGATTTCCTTTTTTTATGACTGGATAATATGTATTGTATATATGTAAACATGAATGAGATATTTATCTTTCTCATTTTCTGTATCCATTCTTCTGTCTATGGATACCTAAGTTGTTTGTCTTGGCTGTTGTGAATAATGCTGCTGTGAACACTGGAGAGCAGATAACTTTTTGAGATAGTGATTTAATTTTCATTGGATATATACCAAGAAGTGGGTTTGTTGATTATATGGTAGTCCTATTTTTAATTTTTTGAGGAAACTCCTTACTGTTTTCATAGTAGCTGTATAAATTTACATACCATACCAACTGACAGTGCATTAGGTTTCCCTTTACTCTACATTCTTCCCAGCAATTGTGAATATTTAAAAGATAATTTTTAGTTAATGGCAAATAATGGCAATAATCATTTGTCTTGTGTTTTTGTGGATAACCACTCTAACAGGGGTGAGGTCAAAACTATCATTATGGTTTTGACTTACATCTCCCTGGTTATTAGTGATGTCGAGTACCTTTTCATGTACTTGTCGGTCATTTGTATGCCTTCTTTGGAAAAATACTCATTCAGGTCCTTTGTACATCTTTTAATTGGGTAATTTGCCTTTTCCCCTTTTGAGTTGTATGAGTTCTCTACATGTTTTGGATACTAACACCTTATCAGCTATGTGATTTTCAGACATTTTCTCCCATTCTCTAAGGTGCTTTTTCATCGTGTTGATTGTTTCCTTTGCTGAGCAGAAGCTTTCTGGTGTTCTTCATCCCATTTGTTGACTTTTGGTTGTGTTGCTTGTGCTTTTGGTGTCATTCCCAATGTCTAGGAGCTTTCCCCCTAAGTCTCCTCCTAGGAGCTTTATGGTTTCATGTTTTATGTTTAGGTTCATAATCTATTTTGAGATTATTTTGTGCATGATCAAAGATAGTAGTTTAAATTCATTCTTTCACATGTTGAATATCTGGTTTTTCTGAGCACAGTTTATTGAAGAGACTGTCTTTTCCCCATTGAGTATTCTTGGCTCCTTTGTCAAATATTAGTTGATTCTATGTGCATGGGATTCTTTCTGGGCTCTCAGTTCTGTTCCACTGACCTATGTGTCTGTTTTTATGCCAGTGCCATACTGTAACTTTGTAATACAGTTTGAGACCAGGAAATGTGATGCCTCCAGTTTTATTTTACTTTCTCAACATTGCTTTGACCAGTTAGGGCCTTTTGTGGTCCATACAAATTTTAGGATTGTTTTTTGTATTTTTGTGGAAAATGTCATTAGAATTTTGATAGAGATTATACTGATGGCTCTGGATAATGTGGAAGTTTTAATAATAATAATCCCTGTCCATTAACAATGAATATGTTTCCATTTATGTGTGTTTTCTTTAGTTTCTTTCATCAATATTTTATAGATTTGTTGTATATATCATTCACTTTTTAGAATGACTTTATTCCTAATTATTATATTGTCTTTGCTGCTATTGTAAATAGTATGTGCTCAGCCCCTCAGTCGTATCCGACTCTTTGCGACCCCATGGACTGAAGCCTGCCAAGCTCCTCTGTCTATGTGGATTCTCCAGGCAAGAATACTCGAGTGGGTTGCCATGCCCTGCTCCAGGGGATATTCCAAGATCAAACCCAGGTCTCCCACATTGCAGGTGGATTATTTACTGTCTGAGCCACTACGAGAGCCCATAAATAGTATGGGTTTTTAAATTTCTTTTTCAGTAGTTCACTGTTAGTATCTAGAAACACAATGAATTTTTGAATGTTAATTTGGTATCCTGAAACTTTACTTAATTCATTTATTCTAACATTTCTGTTGGTCTTTATAATAATTTTCTATATTCAAGATAATGTCATCAGCGTGACACAGTTGTACTTCTTCCTTTCCAATCTGGAAGCTCTCTATTTCTGGTTTTGATTACTCTGGCTCGGACTCACAGCACAATGTTGAAAAGGAGCGTTGAGACTGGGCTGTCTTCTCCCGTTCCTGATCGGTGCCTGTGTAGTGACAGGGGCCAGTTGCGGACATCCACGTGGTGGCGGGGGCCAGGGCCAGCAAGGGCTGCGCCCGCTCCGATGCACGCGCAGCTGCAGGGGCGCTGGTCTCAGCGTGCAGTCCCGTGGCCGCGGGGTCGCCCCACTGGTGTTTGGTGCGGCGCGGTAGGTGCACAGCTGGAGGAGCGCGCGGCAGTCAACCCCACAGGGAGGCCAGCGACAAGAGTCAGGGCCGGGTCTGGGGCTCATAAGCAGCTGAAAAGGCTCCGTCTGTCAGCATCCACACCTGTGTCTCCAGTATCTCAGCCAGATTCTCACCGTGAGGATTAGAGGAAAATTCCTTTCTAGTTCTTGAAATAGACTTTCTCCATCTTGCTGACTTTGCATTCCTTTTCCTGGAGCACTGTCCCCCAACTCTGCCTGGCAGTACCTACTAATTCTTTAGTAATCAGCCTTAAAATCACCTTGTCAAGAATTTTCTTTAACCAGGGGGCCCCGGTTATGACCTCTCATTAATCACTTTGTTTTTCCCTTGTAGAAATCATCCTGCATTTATTTGAGAGATTACCTCTCTCCTATCATACTCCCTAGGAAACCTGAATCCCTGAAGCCCTGACAATTTTTCTTTCACTCATTCTAGATTTTGTTTTCTGTTTTCCCAATGTCCACATAAACACGATGGTGCTCGGGTCATGCCCATCTCTTCCAAACTCCTTGGTTAGTGAAATCATGTTGGTAGCTTGAAATCAGCTGTGATGAGTTAGTATGTACACCATGGAAATGGGTACTTGTTATAAATCAGGTGCCCCTCCTCCTAACTAGTTCTTAAACATTTAGCATCAAACTACTGCACATATCTATATGTACATATAATTTTTACTGACCCCTTGTGTTAGTCAGCTTCCTGTTTTAAGATTTATCTCACATAATATAATAATTGCATTGTAGATCTTTTTTATCCTCATTTTAGTTATTTTCCACGTAGCTTTACAAGTGTCAGATTCTTATCACATGTAGCATACAGGCATCATATTTACCACTTACTAAATATTTGTGCTCATTCTTAGTTGCTTCAATCATGTCTGACTCCTTGTGACCCCATGGACTATAGCCTGCCAGGTTCCTCTGTCCATGGGATTTTCCTGGCGAGAATACTGGAGTCTTTTGCTATGCCCTCCAGGGGATCTTCCCAACCCAAGGATCGAATCCATGTCTCCTGAATCTCCTGCATTGCTGGCAGATTCTTTACTGACTGAGCTATCAGAGAAAGCTTAATAAATATTAAATAATTTTATATAGTCGAAGGAATAACTTGGTAAAGACAAGCCTGCAAAAGAAACATTGCTTATCCTTCTATTCTCTTTAATAATAAATAAGTTCTGGTTATTTATTATTACAACATCTTGGATGTTAATTTTCTGTTTTAAATGTTTTTAAATTGTGAGACATCTTTATGTTTTCTTAGAATCCTAGCTCTTAATACCTTCCCCATAGCAACAACAAATAATATAAGAGAGTTGAATGTTATCTAGGAAGTTTAAGGGAAATATGAGCTAAAAGCTGTGTAACAAGCTCAGATTGCCTTTCAGGTGTAAAGTCAACAGACTGAAAATAAAGTTCTTTATGAATAACCTATTATATTATGAAATCCAGCCCAGCCAAGAGGTGAATCAAAATAATGAATAAATAGAAAAAAAACTTGTAAAAAAATCGATATGACTCTTTGAATCCTTTTGAGTTTAAAACATGAAGCCACTATGAGAACTGTGATTGTAGAACTAAATCTAAATATTATAAGCATTAAGCATAAGAAAATGATTAACAAAAAAAGATATGAAGGAAGGTTAAGTAGGAAGACATGTAAGATTAATACTTTATCTCTTACAAGGCATCAGCGGATATTGCCTAAAATTAAAATTATTCTTATTTCTTAAAGGTTTTGTATATTACATATATTTTTAAACTTTTTATTTAATATTGAGGTATAGCTGATTAACAGTGTTGTGATAGTTTCAGATGAACAGGGAAGGGACTCAGCCATACATATACATGTATCCATTCTCCCCCAAACTCCCCTCCCATCCAGACTCTACATAACATTGAGAAGAGTTCCATGTGCTATACAGTAGGTCTTTGTTGGTTACCCATTTAAAACATAACAGTGTGTAATGTCCATCCCAAACTCCCTAACTATCCCTCCTTCCCATCCTTTCCCCCCCACCTCCAGCAACCAGAACTGTTCTCGAAGTCTGTGAGTCTTTCTGTTTTGTCAGTATCATTTCTTTTTAGACTCCACCTATATGGGATGTCATATGCTATTTCTCTTTCTCTGACTTATTTCACTCTATGACTATCTCTAGGTCCTTCAGTGTTGCTGCAGATGGCATTATTTCATTCTTTTTAATGGCTGAGTAATATTCCATTGTATTGTATATTATATTTTTAATATGGGAAGAATCTTTGTTGTTCAGGTGTGTCCGACTCTTTGAGACCCCATGGACTGCAGCACACCAGGATTCCCTGTCCTTCACCATCTCCCCAAGTTTGCTCAAACTCATGTCCATTGAATCAGTGATGCCATCCAACCATCTCATCCTCTTTCGTCCCCTTCTCTTGCCTTCAATCTTTCCCAGCATCAGGGTCTTTTCCAGTGAGTCAGTTCTTTGCATCGGGTGGCCAGTCCTTTGCATCAGTCCTTCCAATGAACACTCAGGACTGATCTCCTTTAGGATGGACTGGCTGGATCTCCTTGCAGCCCAAGGGACTCTCAAGAGTTTTCCTCGGCGCCACAGTTTAAAGGCATCAATTCTTCAGCCCTCAACCTTTTTTATTGTTCAGCTCTCACATCCCTACATGACTACTGAAAAAACGGACCTTTGTAGGCAATGTAATATCTCTGCTTTTTAATACACTATCTAGGTTTGTCATTGATTTTCTTTCGAGAGTCTGTCTAAAATGTAGCTATGTCACTTTACTTCCTTTAATTTCACTTTACAATTTACTTTATTTTCACTTTATTTTCTTCTGTTAAATTTAGGTAAAATTAAACTGAAGATTTTTATTAAAAAGTAGAATGTATCATGTAGATCTATTTTAATGAAATTATTGCAATGCATTCATAAATCTGCCTGCCTGTGTTGTATTTGTCCATATACATTGAGAGATGTCTATAAAGTTATCTACTAAACATCAAAGGTAATTAGGGAGATTCAGGTGATTTTTAATATTCTTTATTATTATTTGATTTCTTTGTGAGCAGGATTCACTTTTATAAGTCAACACATTCTTTGTTCTTCAAATACTCATTGAATGCTTTGTTTATTGCATTAAATCTGGTTGTTAAGAATTTATACTTAGGCAAGATATCACTTAGACAATAATTTTATTTTGTGTGCCTTAATTAAACATATTGGTGAACCAGGAATCAACTTTGAGTTAGTTTTAAAGAGTAAGTAATTTGGATGTTGGAAATTAACTCTCTGTTTTGAGTCCAGTTGAGGAGCAGGGTTTGCACAATCTCTGCTCTCTCCATTAATGAAAAACACTGGCAAGGCATTCCAGGGTTTGTTCCTGGGAAGCAAATGATATGATTTCCCCATTTAGCCACCTTTGACTAATTATGCTAATGTAGGGATCAGTAAGCATGATGACTTGCATTTTCTCTAAGAATTAGTTTTGAGTTGCTAAACAGAGGCACAGAATGGACTATTAAAACCATTTCTGTATCTGTAATAGGTATCTGTGCAAAGAGAAGAGAAAAATTGTTTGGATGGCTATGGGACTTGATTCTAAGTTTAAGAGAAATTTCTTTTAACAAAAGATTTTAGAAATAAGACAGGTGTTAACTCTAATACTTATGCTTGACATATTTTAAGTGGTGTACCAATACTTTCAGAAATATTTTCCTCATTAATTGATAAGTTGTATAATATTCCAAATCTTGCTCCATTCCTCACCATGACATCTTTCCTTTTCTTCAATGCAACTAGCATGCAAAGTCTTTTTGTGTGGTGAATGAGTCAAACAAAATGAAGATATCATTTATTTGAACTGGTATCACTGTTTTTTAGAAAACCGCTGATGTGCTAGTATAGTTTTTTAGCATGTGCTAACACACACACAAATAAATAATATTTTATATGAATATATAAAATTAGAATAACTAGTAGTTATTCTAGACTTCTGTTTCCCCTTCATATTATATTTTTAATGAACTCTGTGCAGAATCTTTTTGAGGACTGTTGTGTAGGAGGTCTAAGTACTATTAGTTCTTTAGAAACAAATAAAAGGCTGGAAGTAAGGAAAGGGGACACATTAGAAAGGAAACTTGATGCCAGAGGCAATGAAAGAAAGCTATTAAAACTTTAAAACTCAAAAAAGCCTGCTTGAATGAAAGATCTGATAAACATTAAGACCTTGACCAACAAATCTTTAAGAGACTTGAGGTTAACTCACTTTATTTTTCTGCACTCAGGGTTGGACCCAAGCCTTTAACTGCCCTTGTTTAGCTCTTTTCATCTACCTTTGTTACTAAGGTGTTGAGTTAAATTGTTTTTCTTGGATACAGTGTATCTCAGAAGATTAAAACAAAGTGAATGCTGTTGGTATCTGCTCCTGTTAGCAAGTAACAAACATATCCTTTCATGAGCATGATGATTTTACCATGCCATGTCTTGTGTCTGTGACCTGCAAAATTACAGTCAACAGTTACTGTAAGACCAGCCACAATAGCCACAGGAGGAATTCCTTGAGAACTACTGTTTATTTTCCGATGGGAGGAAGTCCTTGTGGGAGTCCTATCTATAGCTCCATCCAGTGAAACTTGGATTTTTTTCTTTTTTATCTATCTGAAGCTTTATTATTGTCATCTCTGCTTGTATCTACTCTAGAAACACATTTCTGAGTTGACCACATAGAGAGGATATTTTGCAGTCCAGGGTGTGTGTCAAGAATACAGATACAAACCAAAACTTCCAATGTTATCCAATAGCTAACTCCATGTATAAGTATACAGAGGAGTCCAAGGAACTGAGAGTTTAATCAGTTGGGATTTGGTCTACATATGGACGAAGGTGGGGAGACAAAAAAGAGGATCAAGTTAATGCCATAGAGCTAGAGGCAGCATTGTCTGCCTTCAATCTTTTTTTTCTCTTTTGATGTCAAAATACTCTGTAACTTGTAAGGATATTCAGGAAAGGATACTTCTGCTGTAGCTCCTTGTGTTCCAGTTGTTTTTGTTTGCTTGTTTTGCTTAAGTAATTTATTGTCTCACAGTCCTGAAGTCTGGAAGGCTGAGATCAAGGTGTCATCAGGGTTGGTTCCCTCAGAAG